TCCTTTTGATTAAGCTGCCTTGAACAAGAGCTATGAAATAAAAGAGCCCCCGTTGACTCTTCCTGAAGAGATTCCAACCTTTTACCCGGCAAAAGAGACTGTGAAAGATAAAGAGGAACCTTCAACTTCAGAGCCTGTAGCCAAACCAGCATACATTTCACCCCTTGTGAGAAAGTTTGTTGAAATGAAAGAAGCTTTTGTTAAAGAAAACCAGGCTTTTTAAATGGAAAGAGAACAAATCTTTAAAGAAATATATTTGCTTCGAACATCGTCTCAATCAAGCACATGCTCACAATCTCCTCCTCCATCATCTGAAAGCTATGCTGAAAATTCAAAAGATGATCCTGAAACTTTTACTTCTCACTCTGAGCCTCCTTCTCCGACAAGGTACCCTACGAAGAGGAGAGTGGAAAAGAAAGGAGACATCTAGGAGACATCTACACTTGAAGAAGACGTGGAGAGCTTCTTAAGTGCTAGGACTAAGGCGTTGTAAACGGACGTTTTTACAAGCTTAGTGGAACAGTGGATTAGAGGAACAAGTTGTTCCTTGAACCACTATAAAAATCCCTGGTGTCATTTACTTACTGCATTTATTTATCTCATTTTGTTTGAACTAATTAACTCCAAAGACTTGGTCTCTGTGTTCAGCAGAACGTGTCTTGTGAGTTAACAGAAGGCCTACTGCCTTTGCTTCTCTGAGGCTAATCATTACTGTTCAGAAGAAGTTAAGAAGAAAGAAGTTAAGAAGAAGAAAGAAGGAAGAAGAATCTCGTCTAAGGAATAGGAGCCAATGTTCGAGTGCTCTATTCTATGCTAAAAGGAAGACATCTGTAAAGAATCACTACTGTTCAAACGCTTCAACACTGAAAAATGTCAAATCAACAAAAGTTTGCTCCTTTAAGTCAGCTGCCTCCTCCATTCTAGATAAGAAGAGGAATGTTCAGAAAAGTCCGAAGAAAACTGCTTCCGCTAAAGTGAATGTTGAGGGGGAGTATCACGTACCATGTTTAAAGTATCCCCTCAAAGTTTACTCACTTAGACATTTGAGAAGGCTCTCTCAAGAAACTATTTTAAAAGACTATTAGTCTGAACATTGACTCACTGGTGGCAAAACCTCCCCTGCTCCAAAGCTCAAACAACAATGGGTTCCTAAGGCTGAAGCTGAGAGATTAAGAAAGTCAGACTCTTCTCAATCAACTAGCCTAGGCTAAAAAATCAAACATAAACTGAAACAGTTTTTCAGTGGTGACAAGGAAGGACCAATCTGGAGGTGGGTACCGAAACACACTTAATCTGTTTTGAAGGTCCGTCATGTGTGGTAACTGATCTGATTGCTCCACACACATGGCGGGTATGAAGACGAGATGTGAGCAATCAACACGTGCACATTATCAAGGAGAATAATGACGTGTATACTTTCCACCAAGCTGAAAATCAACAAATGCACCTCCACATCAACACGTGCTAAGAACAAACAACGAGTGCTTATTCTGAGGGGGAGTGTTTCTTTTTCACTACTCCTGGTTCCAAACAACGAAGAAAGCACATTACAAGGAGGAGTTTTCTACTTTATTCCCAGGGTAACAAACAACAACTTGCAACTTTTGAGGGGGAGTTTCATTTTTCTCCTCCTGGTGCTAGATAATGTAAAATGCAAAGATTCTCTCGAAGATGCAATTTTTGAGGGGGAGTTTTCAAAGTTCTCTTCCAAGCGCCAATCATCATCAAAGGCATCCTACTGAGTGCTCCAGTTGAGGGGGAGTACAGAGAGAAAACAAAAGAGCAAAGAGAAATGAAAGATAAGTCCCAATGGCTTACTAAACCCAACTTAGCCTACCCAAGGGACAAAGCCGAGAGTGAGTAACTGAGTGAACACTATGAGAGTGAGGAAGCAGAAAGCTCAAGTGAGCAAGAGAACAATAATCACTGTCAAATTTGCTACCTCTATTGTGCTATCAATCGAGAAAATTACTCCCAATCACCCAAATACTTTGGACAATCCCCATAGGTTCAGGACTAAATTTATTCAGATTCCGGGTAGAAGTCGCTGCATTTTATCCAAACGGCGCATGCACAACCCTACCCAAGACCACTCACTTGTCTCCCAATAGACATGTGTTTAATCATATTTCACGGGGAACCTCATATCTTATCACCGTCTCCTTCTAATGCGACTGATACTGACTATAGTGGCCCACAACCCCACACCACTGAACATTCATTGATCACATCGTGTCTAGTTATATCACTCCCAAATGTTTTGAATTTTCTAGGACACAAACACCTTTTAGAGTCAGTTGCAGGTCTTCATGACATGTGAGAACTTCCATAGGGCTCATCTACTATAGATGAAGATCAATGATTGGAAGGAAGTCCTGCTGTTGCAACATAGAAATCACCAACATGTTCAGGCCATCGCTTCAAAGTTTATCTCTATAGTGATGATACCGGGCGTCTACACGACCCCGATGGGCTATGTTGTCTTTGTTGATCTTTATGATCACACCATAACAACCAGAGTGAATCTACTTTAGATGCCTCACAATGACTAGTTGTAAGTCCTGTTAGAGCTTTAATGCTTCTATCATTTTTACAGGCCACACATCAGTGTTTACATTGATGTTGTGTTAACGGAACACCTCAGTGTATCCGGTCTTTATCATATAACCTTTATTTTTGGTTTTCTATTTTGTTATCCAGAATAATAAAATAAAGGCATGACGCCCCTATTCATCGGATCGTCATGAGGGAGAGAGTGGTCTGCATGCTGTTTAATCTCAAAATATCATTCTCGGACATTTCCTTCCTCCACCACAAAAAACGACGACTCTCCACTCTCTCAAATCATCAAAACTGCCAAGTCAGCTTCACATCAAATGGTCAGCTACGCTCACAAGTCAATCATCATTTTCCATTGTGCAACCGATTGGTTCTCTTCAAAAGCATTCATTTCAAATAGTCAAAAAGACTACATTGTGGAGGGGACAAAGGTCAGATACTCGTGTACCAAAGATGAATCCCGTGCGCGCCTGGAAATCATCGGAATATTCATTCTAGAGGCACCTTCGGACTTCAGTCAAGCTGATCAAGAGCTACTTCTGGAAGACAAGAATTACAAGAAAGATTTTCAAGATTCCTCAACCCCCGACATCAAAGATCAAATTGCCAAGAAGACATCAAAGGGGAGATTGCAAGGATTTATTTAGAAAGTCTTATTAAGAAGTCAAGTTCAACACAAAGACAAAGGAAGCTGAGCTGCACTGAAGATCAAAACAAAAGAGGAGCAACTCAATAGATTTTATCTACGCTCTCCTCTACATTGCTGAATAAACACAAAGACAAAGATATCCGCGCTGCAATGCTGATTCAACACGATTGAACACCAAGGGGGAGGTTATTGGGAATATTTTATGGTGTCCAATCTAATTAAATATCTTTGTATTTGTGTAGTTATTAATTAAATGTGTAATATGAGCCACAAATGTATTTCAGCCCATTAACCCACTTGTAAGCCTTAAGTTAGACATCCTTATGTATAAAAGGATGCTAACTTAAGAAAACCCTAAGTTTTGACAAGCACATTAACGCACATATCATTCTTAGAGAGAGAGAGCCGCACCTTTATTCGATACCTTGAGCTGTAGTTCGAGATCTTTGTTTGGTATTGAATCAAAGTTGTTTGTTCTCTACTCTATATTTTATATGATTGTTGGATGAATAGGGACTATCAGAAAATGTTCTATTCATGGATTTTAACTCTCATATATCCTCGATCTTCCCGTAATACAACATCTTCGCATAAAGCGGTTTTTGGTCAGTTGAACTTGCATATTCTACCGAAGATGTTACCACCGATACCCCGCTCTTCTGTAATAAAAACTTGACACCCTGTCGGAGAGTATAAAAAGTGTAGCTATTGATATCATATGCTTCATACGAATCAATTGCGCGTTTAGGACCATAAGCTAATCACTTAATATCTTCATCAACCTCATTATAAGCATAATTTGTGTCGTTAAAAATGAAGTGTTTAAACCAACATGAAAAAGTGTGGTTGTGTTCTTTAATCACTTTTCACTTTTTGTGAAATTGTTTTTTCACAAAAGGATAAACAATTTCTAAATGATGCAAAAAAAGATGATGAGCCTTTTCCATTATCTATCCACATTCTTTAGTACTTTCTTTCCAAAAATACCTTTTCCCTCAATTCTATCATCATGTCTTTACTTTGAAACACCCAATGATTCAACATTCATCATATCGGGTGTACAAAACTCCATGACTTCTTCGTTAACAACACCCTTGATTATATTACCTTCAAGATGACAACGATTTTTTACCTTTGATTTCAAATATCCCACATGTCTCTTCATTCCGTACACATGTCTCAAGAATATCGGACCACATAGCTTCACTTCTCTAATCAAATGCACAACAACATGCACCACAATGTCAAATAATGAAGACTGAAAATACATTTCAAGTTGACACAAAGTAACAACCACTTCAGATTATAATGCATCAAGTTTGTCGAGATGAATTAATTTTTGGCATATGGCATTGAAAAAGAAACTCAACCTAATGATTGCATGTCTAACATAATCTGGTAAAGGTCTTCGTAAAGCAACCGTCAAAAAATGTTGCATCAAAACATGATAATCGTGAGAGTTTAAATTTAATCAACTAATTTCAAATTCTTTAATGATACAAGATTTTTAATGTTCGAGCTAAGAAATGCCCTGAAGCCACCTTTATGCCATATAAGCATTCACAGAAATTCCGTTTCTCAGTCTTTGACGGTGCATAACTCCCTGATGAAAGATAAATAATACATTTATAATAGTCGAACTTATGAATATTGAGATGTTCAACCATGTCTTCCGGATATTGATCCAGTCTTTTGTCTTTCTGGGAACATTTATAATAGTCGAACTTATGCTGTCACACATTTTTCCGATGTGCACATGATCGAGAAAGGGATCCGTTTTTCATATAACTAAGGTGACTATGTCATATTATTCACCAAGGCTAATACTCCACAAATAACAAAGTAGAGAACATTTTGATACCGAGGTAGAAGATAAAATAAGAACGTATATATACACGAGAAGAATTTTGGCTTAGGACTACAACATTACTTGGAAGCCAGTCTGTTGAATTATGTAATGAGTAATATTATCTATACACCAATATTAAGCGCATTTATTAATTAAGTATAATGTATATAAATAATACACCACAATAATAGGATGAATAGGGATAATATATATATAGTGTTGGTTCGGTTTTGGAGAGGTAGTCCGTCTTCTTCCATGCATCCCAAGATTCATAATCTGGAAGCAGAAATCATCATTTGGCAAAGTCTTTGCAGCAATCTGAAATGGTTTCCCAAGTGTTTTCTGGTCCTTTTCTGGTCAGAGATTGAGAGTATGCCTCGAAGAATGCTTTATTCTCTTTTTCCAACTCATTCCACACTGCACAAATCATAAACTCAACCGTATATTACAATCCTGTTATAATTTTTAGAAATATTGCCCTAAAAGGGACTAAATTATTGATGAAACTCTTAAATAGGACTAATCATATTTTTTGCCCTAAATGGGACTGGATTACCCATTTACCCCTATTCTTTCCCTTTCCCCTCTTCCTTTTCTTTTTCTCCCCTGCCACGCATCTTCTCCCCCTTCTCCCCTGCGCATCTCCCCTTGCGCAATACACCTTCTTCTCCTTCCCCTTTGCACTAGAACAACCAAAGCGTCGAGCCTGCTGCCGCTGACGTGAAGCTCTCCGCCACTGCCCAGTTATAGTCATCACCGCCGCCGTCGCTGTCGCCGTCGTAGATCTTCTCTTCTTCGAAGGTAGGTTCTCTCCTTCCTCCCCTCTTCTCCAGTTCTCTCCCTCTTCTATTTCGTTGCAGATGCTCGATTTCTTCTTTGATTGGTAAAAAATATTAAGTTCAACACTCAAAATGCCATCAAAATGGCATTCTTATTTTACAAAAATTTTGTATTTTCCTTTGAAAATGCCATTACAATGGTATCCCTGATTCATCTTTTCGTTGCATGACCAAAGCTCTGTTTCATATTTGGTTGTTAAAAAATTCCATATCTCGTTTGAAAATGCCATAAAAATGGCATTCATCCTCTTCAAAAAATTTCATGTTTTCCTTTTAAAATGCCATTTAGATGTCATTCTCAATTTATGATGGCATTTTGATAAAATGTTGGCATAACCGGCGTCGTTGGCCGGATCTGCAGCGGCGGAGGCCGGATGTGCAGTGGCGGAGGTCGGATTTGTAGTGGCAGCGGCCAAATACAATTACAGTGGCGGAGGTCGAATTTTCCAAGCTTCAGGGGTGTTTTTGTCCAATTACAATTAATAACTCCTATTTTGGGATTTTTTAAACTTTAGTCCTATTTTGGCAATTAAAGATGTATTTACTCCCATTTAGGTAATTACCTCTAATTTTTAATACTCGCTCCGTTCTTTATTAGCTGTCTCGTATTCCTTTTCGGGACGTTTCTAATTATTTGTCTCTCTTTCCCTTTTTGGTAAGTTTTTTCAATCAAAATACCTTTATACCCTCACTTTTATTATCATTACCCCTTTCTCTTTCATACTTTTTCATTTACCCACAACCCACTACACCTTTTACACTACCTCTATTCTTTTACTTTTAAAACCCGTGCCAAAGCCTAAGAGGATTCATATTTAAGAACGGAGGGACTAGATCAGTGATCTTTGCATACATGGGCAGAGCCTAGGGCCAACTCGTCCCCGGCCCATCCCTAATTTTGGTAAAATCTACTCCCTCTGTCCTTTATAACTTTGACAACTTTCCTTTTTTGGATGTCCCACTAACTTTGCCACTTTCCCTTTTAAGTAAAGAATTTGTGGTTCCAGTTCATTCTCTCTCCTCTGCACAAATCTCAACCACACCATTTTTACTCTATTATTTCTCGTGTCAGTCAAACTTGGCAAAGTTATTAGGGACGGAGGGAGTATTAATTTTAGTTGTAGAAAATTATGGATGAAAATTATAGACGAATATTTTTATCTGGCCCAGCGACGCCACTGCTTGCATACGAATTTTGGCCTTTCATATTATTGATTTAAAAATTTCTCCATCCATTGTTTTAGAAAAATACTACTCCGTATATTGCTAATTCAGGAGTATATATGGTGCATATTATATTTGTATTAGTGCTAACATAAGTTAATTAAAGTTTATTATCTATGCAATAAATGATTTTTAGAAAGTAAGAAGTAAAAAAAACTCCTTCTCTAACTTAATTTCAACAAGCATTTATATCTTGAATTACTTCACATGATCTGAAAACTTTTTAACTAGTGTGTCTGGTATTTAATGTTGTTTGCACTACAAAAAAACTCGCTCTTTGTCACAGATTACGGCCGTGACAAAATTGTCACGGGCTTTGTCACGGAATATTGGGATTTGTCACGAAAATGTGATGTCACGGATAGGTCCGTGACAAAATCCGTGACAAAGGGCGAGTTTTTTTGTAGTGTTGATATTTTACAAAATTGAGTACTAACTATCTAATAAAGATAATTAAACATTACAAAAATAGGAATTTGTATATAATAATGAAGTACCATACATCTTTAACAATGAGTTGTTCCGTTGGTTATTTGTTCAATTTATGTCAATTAGTTTAGATGTTTTTTCTTTTAAATCTCCAATTAAGTATATAAGATTCACTACAAGAATTCCGCTAATCAGTGGCGGATTTTTATGGCGAAAATGAGTCCGACGGTATTTAGTGTCGGAATTTAATGGGGGTGTTACATCCGCCGGTATTTAGTGGCGGGTGTTTCGCCAGAATTAACCATCAGTAAACAATGACGGAAATTAGACCGACACTAATATCCGCCACTAATTCAAAAAAATAAATACTACCTACCAACCCATTCTAACTCCACACACAATCCTTATCCTCACACCTCTCTGGACATGCTTTCTTCGGCAACTCCAAACTCGAAAAAGGTTAGAATTCTTACCTTTTTTTCAAATTAAAGTTATTTTAATTTATAAATTAACTTATCATGTGCATATATGTTTATATATTAGAGAAATTTTCTCCTTGTTTGTTTGGTTTCCTTATTTTCTCTTAAAAATACAATTCAACTATATTTATGTTCATTACAAGATTGAAGATTATTGTTAGAAAATAAATATAGGAAATTGCTTGTTCAAGTTAGATGTGTTGAATGAAATTCAATAATAGATATATGTTGTTCGTATTATTTATAAAAAACTTGGAGATAATATAGTAAAAAATAAAATGTATAATGTAGATGGAAACTTAAATTCTAATTCATATTAATTTCTTAAGAGAAAATTTGGAAATACTTTATTCATAATATATCTATATTGCTATTTTATTTAGTTTATTCAATGAAAATGTAATGTATGTTGTTTTATTTCAGTATGAGTAATAATAGGTCATGGATGTACAAAAGATTAGAGAGACGAGGATGTCTAAATGATGATTTCAAGGAAGGTGTCAATGAGTTCATTCAGACAACGGTAACTTTATATTCTAGTGGTGTCATTGCATGCCCCTGTAGAAAATGTAAAAATCGAAAATGGTTGACTTGGGATATTGTTAAGCAACACCTATTTGAGAAAGGTTTTATCGATGACTATTATTTATGGGCAGCACATGGAGAGACACCCAATTCAAATGGTCTGGTTTATTTTGATCAACCTATCTCCTCGCATTGTAATGCATCTCAGGTCCAATATGATCCATACAAATCGATGTTTGAGGATGCAGTGAGGAATGAATTCCCAACAGAAAATCAAGGCGATTTTCTTGTGAGTGATGAGCCTAGTGCAACAACAAAGAAGATGTATGAGATGCTAGATATGATGAGTCAACCATGCTTTGAGGGTTGTCCAATGACTGAGTTGAGCGCAATGTCTGAAATGTTGAACATAAAGACTGAGATGAATCTATCTGAGGCTGCTACAGACAGGATTGCTCAATTTGTGAGTAGATTTTTCCCAACTAAAATCCCCAACAGGCCTATACCAAATTTCAACGAAATAAAAAGGAAGTTATCGTTGTTGGGAATGACTAGCCAGTCTATTGATTGTTGCCCAAAAGGATGCATGATATATTGGAACGGAGACAGTGAGCTAATGGAGTGCAAGTTTTGCGGTGGTGCAAGATACAGGATCGGTAAGCAAACAAAAAAACCAATTCCACTTGCAAGAATGGAGTACTTCCCACTTACTCCTAGATTACAAAGGCTTTATGCATCAGATAGTACCGCGGAGAAAATGAGGTGGCAAAAAGTTCACCATAGAGAAGAAGGAGTGATGCAGCATCCATCGGATGCAAAGGCGTGGATTCATTTTGACAATCTCCATCCAGATTTTGCTGAAGACCCGAGAAATGTTAGGCTTAGTTTATGCAGTGACGGGTTCCAACCATTTGGGCAATTTGGTCAGAAATACTCTTGTTGGCCTATCATAGTGACACCATACAACTTGCCACCAGGTATGTGTATGAAACAACAATTTTTATTTTTGTCTATATTGGTACCTGGACCAAAAAATCCAACAAAGGGATAGATGTGTATTTTCAACCATTGATAGAAGAGTTGAAACAACTGTGGGAGGTTGGGTTGTAACGTATGATGCATTCTCAAGGGAAAATTTCAATATGCGAGCTATGTTGCTATGGACAATAAGTGATTTTCCCGCATATGCCATGCTTTCTGTATGGAGTACAAAGGGAAAATTTGCATGTCCATGTTGTGCTGAGTTTACTGAAGCATTTTGGTTATCCCATAGCAAAAAACATAGTTGGTTTGATAATCATAGAAAGTTCCTACCAGGTGATCATCCATTTCGGTTTGATAATGAGAACTTTACTAAGGGAAAATCAATCTTCTATGGCCCTCCGTTACCGAGAGATGGTTCATACTGCTATGATGAGGTCGGTTCCCTGATGCCCGTGACTGAACTAGGAGGTATTGAGCATAATAAAATAGCTGGAAAAGATATTGGATGGAAGAAACGTAGTATATTCTGGGATCTTCCGTATTGGAAGGATTTGCTTGTACGACATAATCTCGACGTGATGCACATAGAGAAGAATTTCTTTGAGAATATGTTCTATACAAATTTGGGGGTGCCAGGAAAATTGAAGGACCATGCTAAAGGGAGAATGGATATGGAACAAATTTGCCATAGGCCGAGTATCGAGAGGGACAGTCACGGAAAATTCCCCAAGGCTCCTTTTACTCTTTCAAGTGAGCAAATGACAGTGTTATGCAATTGGGTTGATTCATTGAAGTTCCCTGACGGCTTTGCTTCTCGGTTAGGGCGTTGCATAGAAATGGAAAAACTTAAAGTGTTTGGCATGAAGAGTCATGTGTTTATGCAACATTTAATTCCGATTGCTTTTAGAGAGATGTTACCTGCTTCGATTTGGGAGGCAATCACAGAGATTAGCTTATTCTTTCGTGAGTTAACAAGAAAGAATATCACCGTTTCTGACATGGAGAAGCTAAAGGCAGATATTCCCATTATTCTATGCAAGTTGGAGAAGATTTTCCCACCGTCATTCTTTGACCCCAGTGAGCATCTTGTTGTACATTTATCAGATGAAGCTTTGTGGGGCGGACCTGCACAGTATCGTTGGATGTATCGTTTTGAAAAGTTAGTGTCTTTTACTTTTTCTCTTTCGGTTACTATAATCTTTTATAAATTTTACCTTGTCTTAAGTGTTATCATTGACATAGTTTCCTAGGATCAGTCTTGAAGACAAAAATAGAAAACAAGGCAAGAGTTGAGGCCTCAATCAGGGAAGGTTATTTGCAAAGTGAGATGGGTACATCTGCCAGTTACTATTTCCCGGAGGAAGTGGTTACGAAGGAACGCCGTGTGCATATATTGGATGGTGGTTTCTTTATTAATGATGATGCTAGCGCTTCAATTTTTGCACAAAAGGCAAAAGCAATCGGTGCAAGCACGCGGCGACACATGAACCAAAACAAATCGAGTGCTGTTCACTCATATGTGTTGCAGAACTGTGTAGAAATCCAACCATTCCGAGAGTAAGTCATACTATTCTAAGCATTGTTTGGTCATTTTTAATGTGGTGTGATATATTGAATGTACTTATATTTAAATGTGAGCGTGGTCTTTTACTACAGGATGTTTATCAATACAACAGGATTATCTAGTTCTGACGAAGTCCAACTACAAGCCAACTTTCCTTTTTGGATTATCTAGAGCCATTAGATCCTTTCAAATCTCTGTCAGTGGCAAAATTTGAAAGACCCAATGTCGGTGTAAATGCCGCAGGAAAGTAAGTGTAATATTAACTATTATTTATGTGTATACAATATTCTTTAATGCTACCATACAATTACTAATAAATAATGTATACTTTATATGCAGTCTAATCAACATATCTGTTACCAAAACAAGTCTAAATTTTCAAGGAATTGTCTCAAAACAAATCAAGTATAATCTTCATCCAGCTGGACAACAATGGAAATGGGTCCCTGATAAAACTAAACAGTTATATTGGGAACAATTCCATGTATGTGTGAGTAATATGTGTTGTTTTAGAATATATTTATATATGGTACGTGTTTTCAAGTGTTTTCAAGTGTTTTTGTCATACATTTTCTGGAGTTAAACACTTTATTTTAACTCAAAAGCACCTATATTCTTAAAGATTGAAGCTTTGATTGTATATAGGATGTAGTCACTTGGAATATTTCTGAGTTCAAACTTAAAGACATCAAGGAAGGTTATGAAAAGTATTTACAGAATCGTGCTTACTCCAATATCATGGGTGATATCAGGTGAGCATAATGAATGATATTTATTTTTACTAGTCAATTTATTTAATTAACTTGAAATATAATGGTTATCCTTATCACACTTGAAGGAAAAAACGGCCTTTAACAGTGAATGACTTCACTTGGGCTGCTGTTGAAGAGTATAAGAGGTCAACGCAATTTCAGAGGGCATCTGCTGTTGGTAAGAGAAATCGTATTGCCGGTGGGGACAAATGCAAACAATATGGGGGTTCTCGAGCTGCGGTTGATGTGGCAGCCCAAGAGGTGACTTTAAAATTTATTTTGATATATGTCTCAAATTTTAGGTGATTCATTGGATGATGTTTTTGCATTTGTTTTAGTTGAGGATTACCGGTGAACATATAAATCCTGTCAAACTTTGTGAGACCTTCCATCCAAAGAAAAGGGAGAATGGAGAGCTAATTGATTATTCTTCACAACCGAAAGTTATGGTATGTAATTACTTTTCTGCTTCTTGGGTCTCTATATTTTACATTTATAAATATTTTAATTTATTTAATTTAAATGTATAACCATATAACAATCTGCTCTAAACCCTAATCTCAAACAGAAAGTTTATAAATCTTAAATAATTATAAACATGGTTTGTAATACCATCATTGAGTCTGTAAATGTATTGTACATATATGGCCAGTGTTTTCTATTTTAGCCCCCTTATTAAGTGTGTAAATGCATTGTATATATGGATATTGTTTTCTGTTTTTAGCCCGTGTACTGAGCGTGTAAATGCATTATATATAAGGGCTGTTTTTTGTGACTTTAACCCCTGCTTTGTGTGTGTGTAAATGCATTGTATATATTTGGAGTGTTTTCTAATGGCCAATACAACTGACTGTGAATATTTTATTTGCTTAGTTATCACCATGCTTCCCCTCTTGCTACTATCCAATTTGCTCAAAGCCTCAAACGCAGTCCTACACACACGCTAACTGTACATTCATATCTCAGAAAAGAGTGGAGGATGTGTTTGGTTATTTTTAACACTTATCAAATTCTTTTGAATAATTACTCTATTTGCTAACTTTATTTATGTAAGATTTGATCTCAAGATTGTATTAGGTCACCACTTTACACGTAGTTTATAGTATTAAATCTGTAAACATCCTATTGAGATTTTTTGAGCAATTGTGAGTTGTGTCGTTATTGTAAAAAAATACCGGCAATGTTCTCTTTTTAATTGTGTAGTGTATGATTTTAGTTCTTTTTTCTGATTTTGATGTTGATGATTCATGAGTTTAATAGGTAGTGCAACATACCATGCATTGTACCTAATGTTTTTTATTAGAGAGTATCAAATGTTTGAGTGACTTGCATCATTTTGTTTGCACAAGAGGTTATTAACAAGCTGTCTACTACATTCCATGAAGCTGAAAGTGAACATCAATCACAAGAAGCTGAAATTTCTGCGGCAGCAAAATCAGTAATTTCTGAGTTGCATTTCAAGTATTTTGATGTCGTTGGGTACAACAAGAAAAGAATTTTGGGAACGGGAAGGTATTTCAAAGCGTTTCTTCTCCAATTAGAGTCAAATCATAAAGGATCTTCATCAAAATGCTTGCATGATTTTTGTGTTGCTTGGGATGAGCATATGAGAAAATGGTTGTCTTCGCATGGTCATGAGGCTCCACCGGTTATGCCTCTTGTGGACGAAAGTTTGACAAATAAGAATCCCGAGTTACAACCTTAAAGTTTTGAAGAAACATGGCTTCTGTTCTTCAAGTCATATGGAATTGATGCCCCAAACTTCTTTCCACAACAAGATTTATCCTCTCAAGGCTCTCAACAGTCACATGGAGACTCTTTATCCAACTAGATGCATAGCTTTAATTTTGAAATGGTTTAAACATTTTAAACCACATTAATGTGGTGATATGTATACCTTTTTTGGATTTAGTATTGAATACTAGACACTAACAGTGACTTGGATGTTTTTTTTGGATTTAGCATAGTTGGGGCTTTAGTAGTGACATGGAATCTAATTAATGTAAAATCTAAGCTAGTATAATATACGGAGTATTATTTTTTGGCAATATTTGATTTTATTTATATTTAATGGTTCAAATTTATCTTTTCATGCTTTGATTTGATAAATTAATATAAACAGTGTTTTGTAGGCATACATAAATAATAATTGAATTGAGAGCAATTCATAAATGAAGAATATTTTTTTTGTAAATAAAAATTAATTACCGTCGACCAATAGTGACAAATATTCCGCCACTAAAATCGTTGGCGGAACCATCCGTCACAAAAGTCCACTTCTAATCACTGACAGATTTAAAAATCCGCCACCAAACAATATTACTTCCAGAATTTACAGGCGGACGATCCGTCAGTGATTTCCGTCACCAAGAATTTCTGTAGCGGAGTTAGCGACGGATATTCCGCCACTAAATTGCGAGATTTCTTGTAGTGATTATGTAAGGCTATATATTACTCCGTAATTTTAAAAACTAAAGTCAAAGAGGGCGAACACATATATATCTAATTAAAGTATGCAAATTTTATAAAAATATTACATATATAAAAGAAAATTTTGAAAGTCCAAGGGAGCGAGGGTCGCCCCTCCCCCCAAATCCATCGCTAAGCTCCGCCCACGGTGTGAACCTACTAAAACTCTTGCGATGTTATAACTTTCTTTTTTGACAGATTACTTATTATTTCACCACTCAGCTTCTTGCATGAATCAAAGTTAGGGATTGATTAACATAAGGCATACGTACATGTACGCATTAAATAGTTATTCAACAAAATAAATTAATCGAAGCAATGAACTAAGATTATAAATTTTTCATCAACGAACTAACCAGTTGAAGTAATGATTGGTTGGATGCCTGCACGCTTGGCCAGAACTTCCATGCACTCTTCTTTCTTCATCTCCAAAATCAGGCAGTGCTCTATTAGCTGGTGCACCTATCCCCAGTCCCAGCGCCAAACATATATTATATTATTATTAAGGACAGGGACTGGTATGAATTAAGATTATAAATTTTAATTAACATTTTTTATAAATTATTAATATTTATAAATTATTAAAACTAATTTTTAACATTATTTTTGTAAATTATTAATATTCATATATACGGAGTATATATATATCTGTGTGTGCACGCGCACGCATCACGCGCGACATCAAATTATTTTCTTTGAGAGGCCGAGGCCCCCTTCAGCCCCCGGTCCCCTCTCTATACATATGCCTTGAATTCTTAATTATATTGCATGTTTAATTGAACACAAAGCTAATCCTACTACTGAACTAAGGCATACTCCTATTATGGATGAAAGAGTTAATTGTATCATTGTATATTTGTATGTATTACATAGGAGTATATATATGTTAACGAAAAACAAACTGACATTACAAAAAAATACGGGATTGACAATGAATTTGGCACGGACTTACTGATTTTTCGTGCCAAATAGCTCGTGCCAAAGTGTTTTTGACACAGATTTGGCATATCCTTGCCAAAATCCCTACCAAATCCCTACCAAAATCCCTGTCAATCCCGTGTTTTTTGTAGTGTGAAATCGTTAGATAGATTAAACAGTCAATTATTATATATGATTACAAAAGCTCAACAATTTAAAGCTGCTTTATTGAGCATGTACAAGAGTAATGACTTATATTAACAGGCATGAAACTGCAAGATTCTATGAATTACTTACCATATGTATATACGATGAAGAAGCAGAGGAGTCGCCCATACTTTATATAATATGCTGATTTGTTTATTATGGGTTGATGAATCTCACCAAACCAATAAAGAAAAAAGAGAGGGAATTCCCGAGAAAATTAAAGAATAAAGATGAGCTGAAATAGAAATACCTATATTATATATAGTGTGAACTGTGAAGTAAAAGTCTGGTGAGAGTGGGTCGAGTTTCCCACGTGAGAGATCAATGATTGTTGGTGTAAGTATAAGGTAATAAGGGAATGGAAAATGAGTCTTGTGGGAATTTTGGTGCACACACTGTGGAATGTGGATAGACTGATAATATTGGTGAAATGGTGAAGTTAGAGGGGGTTTAGAGGAGGTTTCTTCCCCTAAAATATTGGGCATGTATAATATAGTCTCATTCTTTAAAACTTTTGCAGAGAAATAATAAAATTACATTTGTTAAGAATATAGATCTCACGCCTCTTAAAAGTTTGAGATATTTAAATTATTTCCCCCGCATAATAAAAACACTCATAAGAGATAAATTTGAATATGAACTTCTTGCCTCTTAATAACACTTGGTATATGTTTAAACTTTCGCCCCTTAATACTAAACTTGTGGCTCGACCACAAAATATTGTGCATTCTTTTGAATACTTTAAATTAGAGGTGTCCGTCCGTTGCAGTTTTATCAGTCTGATTTTTAGTCGGTAGTTTTAGTAAAGATGAAACCGAGAATCGAACCTCATATAACGGGAAGGCTAGCTTTCAAGAAGATAAATTCTAAGGACATGTTTACTTCACGGGTTACTAAACGGTGCTTATTAAGATCCGCGTTAATAAGCATCGCATAAAATAATCAATGTTGTAAAATCGTGTTTACTTCAAAAGGTTTAAAACATTGTTTAACATTAAAATGTCCAAAATAACCCTATACATATATAGGCACACAAATATTCATGAACACAAATATATAATATAATATGTGTACCCATACCCCCTTGGGTAGGGTCGGGGTAAGGTAGGGTATGAGTAAGGTATGATAGAATATGGGTGGGGTCGGGGTGGGGTCACTGTGGTGGGGTGTAGGAGGTTGGGGTAAGGTGGCAAGGGGCCTAGGTTGGGGGTTGGGGTAGGGTGTCGGTGTAGGGTGGGGTCAGGGTAAGGTAGGGTAGGGGTTTGGATAGGATAGGGGTGGGGGTTAAGGGCTCTCGGGGTGGGGCCGATGTGCTAGGGTTGGGGTAGGTGGTAAGGGCCTAGGGGTTTCGGGTGGGGTAGGGTAGGGGTCGTAAGGGCCAGGCGGGGTCGGGGTCAGGTAGGTATGTGTGGGGGTAGGGTAGGGTAGGAGTAAGGTAGGATAGGATAAGGGTGTCGGATAGTAGGGACAGAGTGGGGTGGGTTGCAATAGAATAAGGGCAAGGGGTAAATTCGGAAACTGAAAAAGCTTAAATTTCCGCTTAATTAATACATGGGGTTGTGGTATGCTTAGTAAGCGGTACTTTAAGCACCTCTTTCGATTAGTAAGCGGATTTTTAAGCGGCATGCGTGTTTACTTCACTTGTCTTGCTACTGTGACTTTAGCAACGAAGTAAACACCTCTTAAGTGTTGGGATAAATTTTTTCTTGACCTTACAATAAACCAAATTGCATAAATGTGGAAAATCCACAATAATTTACTTTTCTCCACCAACTCATTTATTTTTCTATTTTCTTCTTGTGCCTCTTTTACTTTTTTTCCTCCTAGCCAGCCCTCATTTTTTCTTTCAATCTGCCGTGTCCGTGACTTGGAATTTTGTTGGTGACTTCCATTAAGTTTGTTAATTTTGAGGTACATGTATTTCAATGTGTTGTCCATCCTTTATTGGCTATCATTATCATATATGGTCCTCTCAAATTAAATTAAGGTTATTAATTAAATTAACTATGCTGCCCTATGCATCAGGCAAAATTAGAAAATATTACTAGGGTGAGTTTTTTTCCGAATTAATGTGAATTAACAATTATTTACGTAAATAGGGTCAGGTTAAAATTATTTACGGGTGTACTGTTGGCTTAACCCAGGTTAGGCAAAATTGCTAAACGGTTTGACGACTTATAAGTCGCCAACCGGAATCGTGACTTATAAGTCACCAAGCACATGCAAAAATCAGAAACAACAAAAAATAGGGGAAAACCAGAACAAGATTTGGCAGAAACATTGCAATGCACCTGGTCAAAAACACAATATAAAAAGACAGTAGAAACATCCAATATTTATGATGGTCATAGTCCCCTCGCCCCAACACATCCGAACACAACAAAGCAATGCCTGATAAAACCTGACCGTACGTGTCCACGTCATGCGGCTCACTCATTGTGCCAGTTGCTCGCTCATGTATACTCTGCAGAGCCTGTGTTTGTAATGTGAAACATGAATTATAATTATTTTTAAATAAAAAATGTTAAATTAAGAACATGAATTACATTAGTAGTTAGTAGCACACTTACCGTCAAGCACAAACCCATGGAACTAGGCTAATCATAGTGAGTAGGTAGGCTGAAAGAAAGAGAGACAAACAACCGTGTGATGGTATAATACCATCTCATGTAGTTTAAAAAAACCGATGGATGTAATGTCGGCATCCCAGCGACAACAAGCTCTGCTCACCTATCCCATATAGTGACATATCAGACATGTTTGAGCAACCAAACATCTGTAGGCTTCCCACGCCTATCCAGCTTATGAAGATCCACCCATGTGTCCACAACTGTTGGAATGACCTGCTCATAGCCAAACTGACGCAATACACGATCAGGTAAATGTTGTTCAACAATGTCAAAACATATCAATGACACATGTGTTTGCCATATATCATAATGCTCTCGTCTTGCCGGGGGCAACTTGTAGTACCGTCCCCGAGCATATTTACTCTTAGTAAATTATGTAATAAACCTTGAGAGATGATTTATGAATTTACGTAATTGTTAAATTTCATTATTTCTTTTACGTGAATAGTAAATTGCATGTGGGGGCCACGGCGGGGACGGGGACCGCCCGATAATTCCCGAACCACATATTATATTCATCTCGGTCTAGATGACATCCATATGGTTGTGGACATTTTATTTGGGCCATAGGAAAGGCACGGAGTTGACCGGGGGTCAAACGAGGCCTAATTTCCGGTATTGATAATTCAGCGGATAACAGCCCGAAATGAGTTTCGGAGACTCCTAAATTAATGTTGGGGAATGTACATCTATTCTAAAGGCCCATAAGTATTAGGGACGCGTGATATATTTTATTTGGCCCGATAAAAAAAATATGATTAAAACAGTCCGAGAAATACAACTTTCGGGGCCGATTATACATACCGGGACATAACGGGATGACCTCCCACATAAGTGGGAGCCACCCCACGTTTTTAGGAGTGCTGATGGACTGAGTGATAAGAGGAGGGGAACAAACTAATGTGCTGGTACGCACAATCAATGGAAGGAAGCCTCCTAGAGACAAAATGAACATGCTCCATGTCCCACTCTTGGCATCTCTTCTAATTGATTGAGAGGAGATGCCTCCCCCCTATCTTGTGTCATTCGGCCAGAACAAAGCAAGAGAAGCCCAAGGGAAAGCAAAACTCTAGTTGGAGGAAGAGGGAAGCTAGGAAAATCCACAAGAAATAGCTTGAGCTTAAGGTAAGAACATAACTATTTTTCTTTAACTAGTTTATGTTGTATGATTTTCAAGAAATCATATGGTGGAGTAAACATGAAGTTCTACACGTTTAAAAAGTGTAGAATGTTGATATTTAATGGTGGTAATTAACTTAGAAGAGTTGGTGTATCGATAGGAGTCGAAATCGCCGGAAACCGCCACGTATAGGAAGCTGCTCGTGTTGCAGAAGGACGAACGTCTCCCGACTTTCGTGAAAGCCGCCCAGCTTTTGCCCAGGCAGTCCAGTCTTGCCTTTTTATCGGTTTAAAACGAGGATTAATCGGGGAGCTCAACAAAGGCAACTATTTCAACACATCATAAGGTGAGGATGACTGACTATATTGCTTATAATTAGTGAGTTAATTTCATGAGATTACCGAAGGTAATTAAACGTGTTTTTATGGATTATTAATGCTTAATAATGCCTAAGAATGAAAAGACTAATGTCTAAAGAAAAAGGAGCATGATATACAAATTTAAGAGTAAATTGTGTATGATCATGTGTTATGAGTATGTTGACTTGAAAGTGGAATCTATTATGAAACATATGTTGAAATATATTTTTCTTCATATTAGAATATATGAGTGATTAAAAGTGATATTTTGAATATTGAGATAAATGATATTTTCAAAGGAAAATCAGTTGGAATTGTCTATATGACTATGAGTTGAGAACTTGGTTTGTTGATATTAATTTGACTAGTATTAAGATACTAGTTGGACATTAAAATGGAATGTTGTTAAGATTGATCCTAAGGTTGGATTGTGAAATGTTATGCCTTAAGTAGTCTTAAGAGATGCTTTAAGGTAGGAAAGTATGAAATCTAAGTTATACTAGGGGTAGGCCTTAAGGGATACCCAAGATAAAGTAAGTAATAAATTGATCCTAGGTATAGGATTGGCCTACGGGTGTGTTCGGTAGTCCTTGTGGATAGCCGGTTGAATTATGGAAATAAGTAAGGACCATGGCCCTTCCCGACTCTAGAGAGCGGGGTTGGATAGCATGGACTTACATCGTGATCACGGGTTAGGGTGGAATCCGAATCGGAGACCTAACTAGGTTCCGGTAGCGGTAACACATAAGATAGGACCCCGAAGGACCTTACCTTCCTACGGGATGATGGGTATAAGTCCAGGGGCGGGATGTTGGAGTCCGAACCAGGAGCCTCATGAGGTCCCGGACAGCGGTACCAAGTCCCGTAGAAATAATAAGACCCAAGGGTTGGGTTGTGCAAATGATAAATGAAAAGGAATACATAAGAAGGGCCGTGTGCCGACAAATAAATGAATTTACTTATTATAAAGATAATAAGTGGGAAATATAATTTATTATTTATATTATGATATCACCCTATTTTGAGGGTCTTGGAAATTAAAGTGTTGATTATACTTAGTATAGTTGCTATTGTACTTGTCAAATGCTTCCAAGTACTGACCTCTCCTTCACGGGGGAGGCCACCTCACAGTTTCAGGTAGAACTTGAAGGTTGTTACCATTGCCCGTTGCTTCGGGAGGATCAAGGGAAGAAGACGTGGTTCGTGCTTCTTCCGTTCTGTTTTAAAAACAATTACGTTAATGCTCATGGATACTATTTTCTGAATAATTACTTTGGGGGCTTGTATGCCTAGTTATGCCAAGTGTGGCTTGAACAATTGTATTAATGCTTCCGCTGTTTTAAATGCATGTTTTACATTATGTTTGTTTATGGATGTACTATGTGTGAATGATATTCATGACGCCTTGTATAGTATGGATGAGTTGGACTGCGGTTGACTATTCGTACTGTACGGCGGGTTGTTGACGTGTCCGGCTAGGTCCGGGGCGTGACAATTTAATTGGTATCAGAGCCTTAGTCCGTAAACATCATAATGAAGCTTCAAAATTCTTTTTGAAAATGAAATTGAAAACCATGAGCATAAGAAGTTTTGTACTTATAGAACTTTTGGTACTTGAGTTGCAATGTCTCTAATTGTTAAGATGGTACCCATAGCAATTGGTATGGCGGTGATTTGAGCCAAAAGATGTCTTTAAGTGCCTATCCGTCAATTGACATTTGATACGAGTCTAATGACTCATTCTAAATTTCTTTCAGAAATGGAACGTACCGGGAAAGTTACTCGACGGAACCCGACTGGCCAAGTACCGGGAGGATCCCAACGTGGCAGTCGGGGAGGATCGAGGGTGTCTAGGAGACAAGGCCGTGCAGGCCACTCGCTGACCGTGAGTGACGGTCATGTGGAAACCATAGACGAGCACTATGAGTCCGAGGAGGAGACCCCAATTGATGGGGAATACGATGATGCAAGTGACGAGAGCGATGATAATGAAGCTCTCGAACGGATTGAGGAATTGCTCCGGCAATACCACCAAGATCGCCAAAGGCGTCGGGCAAGACGTGCTTTGGAAGGGGCTTCAAGGAGAGGAAGCCGCGTGACTCCTAGGGAGATCATAGAATCCCGAGGAGGGGAGATGCTGAGGTCCCTATAATAAGGATCTCAAAGTACCTCAAGGAGGCAAGAGACTTGGGATGTAAACCGTTTGATGGAACGGGGGACATCTCCGTGGCGGCTGAATGGATCAAAAGATTCAACGAGGCGGCCCTCGACATGCAACTACCACCCCACATGAAGTTGAGAGTAGCCACGAGGCTACTAGAAGGCATGGCGTCCACATGGTGGGATGGAACAAAAGGGAAGTACGGCGAGGCCGTCACTTGGGAGAATTTCCGACAGGAGTTCATCAGTCAATACTACTCCGACTTCGAGGTGAACTTGAAGAGGAGGGAGTACACGAATTTGACCCAAGGAGGTGGATGTACGGTGAAGGAACTTGAGCACAAATTCAGAAAGCTTGCTGAGTTCATACCGGAGTATCTTTGTGATGAAAACCGTATGGTGAACCATTTCTGGGATGCCTTGGACCTTGACATACGCGAGAGGGCAACACAATTGCCTAATATGACGTTTAGTGAAGTGGTCGAACAAGGCTTGAAGGGGGAGAAGGAGTGGGAGGAAAGAAAACGAAGGAATGCCGAGGATGCAAAGAAAAGAAAATGGGAGAGCCATGGCCCTCAAGGTTCTAACAAGAAGGGGAACCACGGGGGAGGCGGATCTTTCAAAACCCCTGCACCACCGGTAAGGGGAAATCAAGGCCCGAGCGGGCAAAGCTCTGTGTCACAAGGCTCAGGCGTGAAGAAGTGCAGCAATTGCAAGAAGAACCACTTTGGAAAGTGCCGCGACCCCCCGAGGTGTTATCAATGCGGGGAGGTCGGGCATTTGAAGGTGAGTTGCCCACAACTTGGGCGAGCCATGGGGGCCGGACCAAGTAGTGGAACGACGGTGAGCAGGAACCGAACCGGAGCACCAAATGCTAGCGGTGGGCATGGTGGGGCGAGTGCAAGCAACGCGCCATCCGTAAATCAACGAAGGACCCAAGCTCGGGTCTATGCTATGACGGAGGCGGATGCTCATGCCAACCCGGACTCCGTTGCGGGTAAATTCTTGAACTCACGTATTAATCTATTATAAACAATAGGAGTGTGGAACTTGTAAATTTATAACCCCGACGAGTTTGGTCGGGTTTGGGGAGAAAAAGGGGAGGAGAATCCTCGCCCTGGGCGAAAGCAGCCCAACATCGACGAAAGTCGCCCGACTTTCGTCTTGATTTATTGGAACAAAATACCACGACAACGAATGCAGGCCGGCTTCCACCAAGAACCGCCCGGCTTTCGTATATATTAAATCAGCAATTTTCCTCGCAAACAAAAACCGGCCGGCTTTCACAGAAACCGGCCGGCATTTGGAACATTTACTCAGGAATAAACTGCGGCGCTCAAAGTCGCCCGGCTTTGGTAAAAGCCGCCTGGCTTTCGTTGGGCCTGGGAATTCCTGCGCTGCTGAAACGGGGCCGGGTTTCGTAGAAACCGGCCGGCTTTGAAATCTATTTCTTTGATAAAACGACGGCGACGAAAGTCGCCCGGCTTTCGTGAAAGCCGCCCGACTTTCGTGATTTATTTATGGAAACTTTTCTCGCAGACGAAACCCGGCCGGCTTACGTAACGTCAAGCTCAGAAGTGAGCGAAAACCGGCCGGCTTTCGTGAAAAGCGGCCGGCTTTCCCCTGTAAATACACAAGGTCGGTTTCGAGGGTGAGGACCGAGCGGGTTGTGATGGGACGTTGAACTACTACCATCTGAACCATAAATATAGAGGCAAATCAAACAGTTGTATCATATCCGCCGTGAGAGAGAGGAATATGATGAGAAAGGGATGCCACGCATATCTAGCTTACGTTGTGGACAAAACCAAAGAAGAGGTAGACATCAATGATGTGAGAATAGTGTGCAAGTATCCGGATGTCTTCCCAAAAGACTTACCGGGGCTTCCACCCGATAGGGAGATTGAGTTCGTGATCGAGGTTGAACCCGGCACCAAACCAATCTCTATACCGCCATACAGAATGGCACCCGCTGAACTTAACGAGTTGAAAACCCAATTGCAAGAGCTATTGGATAACGGTTTCATAAGGCCGAGTCACTCTCCGTGGGGAGCGCCGGTCCTTTTCGTGAAAAAGAAAGATGGAACCCTTCGAATGTGCATTGACTATCGTCACCTGAACAAGGTCACGATCAAGAATAGGTATCCCTTGCCTAGGATTGATGACTTGTTTGATCAGCTCCGAGGAGCGACGGTGTTTTCGAAGATTGACTTGAGGTCGGGGTACCACCAACTGAAGATAAAGGCCCAACAGGCCCAAATCACAGCGCACAGAGTACCAAGTAGCCCGCAAGGCGCACCAGGGGTGCCTTCGCCCCCTGGCCGAAGGCTCTAAACTCTCACAGAACGGGTTTCTCAAGCAAACTAAGAGACTGGGAAAAACGGCAGAAAACAGTAGCCCTCGGCACCTGAAGCCCTCGGCACCAAGGGGTCCCCCGGTACTCAGAGCCCTCGGCTAGTCCTCTAACAGCCGAGGGCACCTTCCCCGACATGATATCCGCGCCACATGCGTACAGATCACCGTACCCTGTGCAACGTCCCATCCAACAGTCGCATTAAATGCGGCCACATGCGGTTGCCAGCGCCAACCAGATGAGGTGACCTCTCGGCCAATGGATGCTTGACACGTGTCCCTGTCCGGCATTTATTGCTACTATAAATAGCACCCCTTTTCCCCATTTGTAACCAAGTCATAACGCTCCACACTTCATAATATACTTTCTCTCTCTATATTTACTTGCTCTTACTTCTCTCTTACTACTCCCCGTAATAACCCCTCGGATAAGCTACCCCCCGGGTACACTATCCATCACCTAGTTATGCCAAGTGTGGCTTGAACAATTGTACTAATGCTTCCGCTGTTTTAAATGCATGTTTTACATTATGTTTGTTTATGGATGTACTATGTGTGAATGATATTCATGACGCCTTGTATAGTATGGATGAGTTGGACTGCGGTTGACTATTCGTACTGTACGGCGGGTTGTTGACGTGTCCGGCTAGGTCCGGGGCGTGACACAACTCCTCCAACATCTGGGATGTATATGGCATCCATGTAATCTGTTTTATAAGGAAAACAAATTACTCTTACTGCTATTCATTCATATGATAATAAATGTTATATTATGTACACCAAACCTGATCATCAGACATGCGATCAAATGCATCCCTATAGTAGCCAAGCTCAGCACCCGATGGTATGCGAGAAAGATCAGCAAATAGCCATCTAACAAATCATGTAGTATACTTCATCCGTTCTTTTTTACTTGTAACATTCTCTTTTTCACGTTTGCCAATGCACAACTTTGATTGTCATTATATTTAATTCCGTAATAGCAAAAATAAAATAAAAATCAGATTATAAAACTTAGTAATGAGACGAATTTAACGATTTTTTTCAAAAAATATTTATTCATACAGGATTTAAAAAATATTTTTCTTCGCAACGATTCCATGGAAGATCGGACTATAGGAGACAAAGGTATGAGTCTGAAATAATAGGCGCAAGTCACATAGGATTTGGTGATAAAGCAGGGGATTGAACATGGCACATTTCTTTTCATTTTCTGGTTGGGGGAGGAGTCTGCCGCAGGGAAGGTTTTCAGACAACACTGCGGTTGGACAAAATCAAAGGGTTCTAGACCCAACAAGAGGTACATCATTCCAAATTGAAAGCAAAACGTTTTGCTTAGACTTCATTTCCTCAAATGTGCGTTTAGCTCAATATAATTCAAGGGTAATATATTACGATCCATCTCTTTTGATGAAGAAGGTTTGAACTGGTTATGTAATTCGTTTTGTAAACTTCAAAATGGAGAGTCATGGACATTCACGAGGTTTGAGGGTTCCGGTAAAATTCAACTTTCTTGTGACACTAATCGATTTGGTGGATTCATTGGCATCGTGGATAGGAGATCTTCGAATAGTACAACCATAATTGTTCCTGAAGGCTGGCATGGAGAAGGATATAGTCAATTTTGTTCCTCTTTATTGAACCAGCAGCAGAAGTTGCTCAAAGGGGATCTGGGAAGATGCCTTGAAGATTTTGAGATTATGGCAGATTATTATAGTCCGAATGATTCTATTTCATCCACTTTTTTAAGAAGACTTGAATTATTTGGGAAGTGAATTAGGAATGATCATAAGGGAAGATGAAGGAGTCATTGAGGAGGATATCACCGAGAATGTTCACGAAGAGGAGGGAGTTATTTATATTATTCCGCTTCAGGTTTCTTTCCCGATTCAGGGTCAAAACAAGATCATTGTTTTTTCAAAGGGTGCTTCTCAAGCTAAAGACGTTGGTTGATAGCTCGGATAATAACGAGTGTTCGGTTTGTGACTCTGATTAGGAATTGCTTCAACGGCTAAGTGATTCGAGCTGGACTTTAAGATTAAAGCTAATGCCCGGAAGAAGTGCTCGTGTTCAAGCCAAGGTTGATAAAAATTACCTGAAGCTATGTTAATCACTCGTGGTTTTGATAGCGGGAAAACATGTGGTAGCTTGTTGGGCGATGGGTCATTGGGGCAAAAGTTTATCGGTTCAAGGCTATGGGTTCTTGTGGAGGCAACTTTTGGATTGCTTTTCTTCGGGCTTTCATTAGTTTCATTTGCGTTCTTTTTTCTTAAGCTTTATCTTTTTTCTTCAACTTTCTTCTTTCATTAGTGCTTGTACTTCTTCGATTATCTTAATAAAGTAGCATTTGGCAAAAAACAAGAACATTAATAAATAAAATCTAGTCAGAGTAAAGTACTTAAATAGTGTATGTATTCCAATGTTGCAACTAATGAGATACGAAGGATAGTATATTAGTATAAATCCAAATAATGAAAATATTCAGATGGTACAATAAAATAAAGATAGAGTTCTAAATCATACCTATGTGTCAAAGGGTCCTCACCCTGTTGATGATGTGGTCCAAGGACTCGTGGAGGCTGGTCATGATGTGGGTGTCCATCTAGCCCGCGGTATCGTAGTTTAAAAGGGCGGCCTATGCGAATGTACTCCCGTGAAAATATCTGTAATAACAATAAAAAACCAACCTCTGTGCTCCCACTCAGACAACCTCAACACAACTACCTATATAGATAAGTTAGAGTGACACTCCCCCAACTGAAGTATGCAGCGACATCAAAGCTCTCTAATATCGGAAAATACAACACCTGAACTTCATTATCACTCTTGTCAGCAAATACATCACTTGAAATACATGCGCTCAGAATATCACCCTCCTCGTCATCTGATTCTGTCTTTTCATCATCATTCGCGTCTTCATCTGCATCATCACCATTCCCATGACCATCCAGAAATGAGGCACCATTGTGCAAATACATCTCATCCTCCTCTACAACCATGTTCAAAACAACCTCATTTGCGGAGGCCGCTCCATTAACACCATCATGCCCAGACACAACATGAATTGATGTTGAGGGAGTCATAGTAGCATCTAAACTTGATTCTTCAATGTATATCTCCATTGTGGACATAGTCAGGTTCAAGACTAGCATCCACATTCCTGTGACAACTTCCTCATCATCAAGTGGCATCAGCATGTATGATCCCCGTGAAGGGGGTATTTAACTTTCACTTCCAAAGAATTGCTCTGGGGAATATGTGTAGCTACATCTACTTTTTGCATGAAATCTCGCATACATGCGCCATGAGAAACAACAACAATCCGTCGTTGACCCCCTTCATAATGTATCCCACATGCTTCCTCAATGTCTTTTCCTCCCCAATAACAAACTATTTGGAAGTTGGAGACATTTATATTCTAGAAACAATACATATACATGATAAGTAATCACATTTATATACACACATTATATACCCAAGCTTCACACACATATATACACATATTATATACTCAAACATTATAAGACAATGAATTGTACAAATAAATGTAATAATACTTGAGCAATATTTTTGTTCATTATCATTACACTTGACAACACAAATATATTAATTTAATACCAAACATTTTGAACAACAAAAAAAATTTTACATTTGAATTCCTAAAACTTATCTATAAACAAACCCCAACTTGGATTTAGGAGATGAAATTGGTGTTTAGAGTTACCTTGAAGAGATAGCCATACAGAATATGGACTTTTGGAATCCTGAATTGGAGAAGATGTCATGCGTTCGTTGTCGCCGATCGGAGTGTGCCGATTGTCGTTCGCTGCTGCAGAAGGTTTTAGGAATTTGGGTTCTATTCTGCTAATGTTGCTGGAGGCGGGGGGGGGGGGGGGGGGGGGGGGGGGGGTTAATCAGAAAGTCATGCACCAACCGATTTGGCGACTTATAAGTCGTCATCTCGTTTGGCGACTTTAAAGTCGTTATCTGAGTTGGCGGTTTTGTCTAACTGTGGTTAGCCCAACAGTATATCCGTAAATAGTTTTAACCAGATCCTATTTACGTAAATACTTTTTTAATTCCCATTATTCCAAAAAAAAAACTGTACTAGGGTATCATTAATGTTTATAAAAAATGGGTACATACACTATAGAGAAGAGACCAAACCATCATATTCCAGAGTATGAAAATTTTGTTTTGGAAGGGAGAGGAGGTTGATAAGTGCTTATGCTTCCCATTTCTTATTTGGGAGTTTAAGAAATTGGGGGTTTGAATGATAACAAATTAAGTGATAATTTTAACTCAGTTTAAATTGGGGGTTTCAAACTCGGGACCTTCAATATAAGAGAGTCCCGAGTGAGCTAAATTGTTTCTTCATTTTTTAAATAATACTCCCTCCAGTTCTTAATTATTTTTACACTTACTTTTTTGGGCCGTTCCATATTAAACTTTACACTTCCTTAATTGCCTTATTTGGCAAACAAATCTACACCAAACAGTGCAAAACAGTGCAAAACAGTGTCAAACAGGGCCAAACAGTGTCAAACAGGGCCAAACAGTGTTAAACAATGTACTCTACAGTAAAGTCAAATTTATTTCCTTAATATGTGTGAAATCAAAGTGTAAACTTCATTAAGAACAAGAGGGAGCAGTAGAATATACATGCATTAAATGCGAGAATTTAATAGACATCTTAAGTAGAATTTAGTTCATTCTCGTGAACTATTTTGCATACATGGAAACTTGTACTCCCACTTCAATGTTCCCCTTTCCACTTTCTCTATACTACTGCTTGATATAAAAATAAAGGGAAAGTTCCCGAAATAGGACTAAAACAGTTTCAAAATTCCAAAATAGGACTGTCATATTTTTTATTCCCAAAATAGGAATAATTACTGCCATGTTTAGAAAATACTGAGATGTTTGAAATCTGGTACTGCCAAAACATGACAGTAATTAGTCCTATTCTTGGAATAAAAACATGACAAACCTATTTTGGAATTTTCAAACTTTTTTAATCCTATTTCACTTGATATCTCAAAAATAAATTAACAAATCAATCATTCATGTCATGTAGCTCTCAAACAAAACAACCAATAGATGAATTTCCTGTCCTAGAGGAAATCCGCAAACTCCATTTTCTTCTTTACGGTATTGTTTGGTTGCCTGGCCTTGCATGGCTATATCCATGTCCCACCAGCATAACCATCATTGTTGGATATTAAATGAACATGCATGCATGAAATATTACTCTCGTCCCATAAAAATTCTCCTCACTCACCGTTTTGGACGACTCATTTACTTTTATTGAAAAGTTTTGTGTCACCAACACTCATTTAACTTTTTCTTATCCAACAATAATTATACATTTCAATTTCACTTTATTCTCACTTTCTTAAATTTCAATCCAAGTCAAACTGAGAAGAATTTTATGATCGACACATAGACCGATTATTATACTACTTACGGACAATTTTGGCACAACTTTAATTTCATCGTGTGAGGTTCTTATCCGATAATTGTCATATATAAACAGCAATAGATTTCATTGAGTTGTTTATTTAATTTGCCATTTATATGCATTCCTTTCATCAATGATGATGATTGATTCGAATTTGTAATAAAAAAATGCAATCAACTTTGATAAGTGACCATTAATTACTTGGACGGGTTGTTATAATAGAGCCACATTACATATTTACATACGGATAAGCTCAGTTCTAAAAATCATTCTAGACATCAGATTAGTCCCTACCTAGGCGCTAGGCGGTGGTTGGGCGCCTCAGTTTTCGTTTAGACACTCCGACTAATTGGTTAGCCGTCTAGGTGAATTAGTTAGCCGTCTATGACGCCTAGTTGCCCACCTAGAGCGCCTAATTGGTCGCGTGCCTAGGTCGTCTAGATTTGCAGAACATTACTTTACTTTTTAATTTTAAATTTCTAAGCGCTATATGTATTTTAACTTTAGTCAGGGATATAAAGAAATGAAGTTGTAAATTAAGATAAACCTATATATGTTTATACATATACCCAAATTTTATCATTATTTATATTTATAACATAATGAAGGTAACTGAGTAGTTATCATATACTACCTGATGGAGTATATGGCCCGGGAACCCCCGACCCACAGACTCCTACTACTCCAATCAAGGCCCAACAGGCCCAGAAGGCCCAACAGGCCCAAATCACAGCGCCCAGAGTACCAAGCAGCCCACAATGCGCACCAGGGGTGCCTTCGGCCCCCTGGCCGAAGGCTCTAACTCTCACAGGAGGGCCAACACAGCAAAAACAAAGCTACTGGGAAAACGGCGAAAAGCAGTAGCCCTCGGCACCTGGAGCCCTCGGCACCAAGGAGGTCCCCAGTACTCAGAGCCCTCGGCTAGTCCCCTACAGCCGAGGGCACCTTTCCCGAAATGATATCCGCGCCACATGCGTACAGATCACCGTACCCTGTACAACGTCCCATCCAACAGCCGCATTAAATGCGGCCACATGCGGTTGCCAGCGCCAACTAGTTGAGGTGACCTCTCGGCCAATGGACGCTTGACACGTGTCCCTGTCCGGCATTTATTGCTACTATAAATAGCACCCTATTTCCCCATTTGTAACCACGCTGAAAACGTTCCACACTCTACAATATACTTTCTCTCTCTATATTTACTTGCTCTGACTTCTCTCTTATTATTCTCCGTAATAACCCCTCGGATAAGCTACCCCCGGGTACACTATCCATCATTTGGTGCTCTCGTTGAGAGGTCGAACAATCAAGTAAGAAACCCTCCCCCTCGTCCAAACACAAAAACACCCATCTAAAATGGTGAGAACAACTCGTGCCAACTCCAAGAATGTAGAGGACAGGAACCTGGCCCTCGGCGAGGTCGACGTCCCCGAAGCCTCCAACAGGGCTCCCGGGGGCGGCATCATCGTCGGGATGGACCAGACGACTGTCGACCTACGCCAGCAGATTCAGCAAAATGCCCCCGATGCCCGCCTCAGCATCGAGGCCAAGAAAAAGGACCGGAGCGAAAATCAAATTACCCCCGGTCATCACCATCGACGTTCAATCGGCGTTCTCCGCCTTCATCCAGACGCTCACTCAGAACCCGGGTGCCTTCGGCACTTTGGTTCCCCACCAGCCTCAGGTTGGGGAGAATATTATGCCTCCCCCTCATCCACGACCCCTCGGTAACCCGGTCCTCCGGATGGGGAACTCCGAGGGGGTCGTGGCCCAAGATACGGCCTCCCAGGAAGTCCAGTCCCGGGACCGCCACGACGTGAACAAGAAGCACCCCCGGACCTCCGCCCTCGAAAGGCTCGGAGGGGCGCAAGACCGCCGAGGGGTCCAAGACCTCCTCGGGTGGAGGGCGTTCCAAAGACCTCAAGAAAGTGGCGGGTCCGTCTCCAGGGCCAATGAGAGACGTCCCCCTCAGGACAAAGGCAAGGCACCTCTCCATGCCGACGACGCACGTCATCAAATCAATCAAGCCACTCGGCCCGGGTCCATTCGCAGGGGGCAGAGGCCCTCCAGAAGGACCCCCGGGACAAAATCATTGCGGCCCTCCAGCGCCAGCTTGACGAGATGGAGTCCACCAAGGCCCACGCCACCACTTCTGCCCCTCATGCGGACTTCAAGTATGAGGCGATGATGGCGAAGATGGAAGAAATGCAGAAGAAGATAGCCGAGGGCTCCGGGGAACCCACCATACAGCTCCGGACCTGATAAGTACATATTACAACATGCATTTGATGCGTGTTGGGGTTGCATTTTGATAGTTTTCCTAGCTTTAAGGTGTTGCAAGTCTCAATTTTAACTCAAGTTATGTTTACCGGGCGTTGGTTCGAGTTTTGTGTCATTTGGAGTCAAAATCAGGATTTTAGACACCAACACCGGCGCTTGAGAAGCAATCGGGACGAGTTGAGAAACATTAGAGATTGATTTGAGAGCTTTGGAGTTCACCGGGAGGTTTACGATGAAGAGTTGAAGATAAAAGAGCTCTAGGATGGGCTACGGGATCAAAAGAAGACAAATAGCGCTTGAAAATGACGATCAGGATGACCTGCTGTTAATCATTCAAGCAATCTCCTTGTAGAGACATCTAATGTACACGTTTCAAGTTCCATATGAAAGCCAACTTCAAGGGCTATAAATCATGAGAAGACACCTTTCCGAGAATCTGATAGGAAGAATGTGAAAACAGACGACGAAGTCAG